GTAAGTAAGTCTCTGTATGAATTTTCACCAAGCGCTTCAAGAACACGAATGTTACTTTGAAGTTTGCATAATGACTTCATATAGTCGGAGGTGATTTCATGTTCCTGGCCATACTGTTTCTTCAGAAGACCTAGAGTGTAAGTGTAGTTGTTTTTGCATTATTGTAGCCCTTTGATTGTAAGTACCGCTTCTTGTTGAAAGAAGGAAGGAATTTTCAATGTCTATTTTATCTTGTGGATTTTAATCTTCTTAATGCATTTTGCAAATTACAGAGTTTCTAGTTCAGCATGTGAACAAGATAATGGTAGAAATAGTCTTGATGTTTCCAATTTATCCTATAGCTTACTAACTTCACACATCTCACTCGAAATTAAAGTATTGGTAATATACAGTCTACACCTAACACCTAAGATTTTACTCTGGCCTGGAAGTTGATTGATGTAAGGAATTGACCATTATAAACTGGGGAAGGGAATTATAAAGAGAAAACATAGTTGAACTCTGGTGACCTTGCCCTTTGTTATATAATATTATTTAATAACCACCTATCGACAGTGCGACACAACCAGGACACACCAGTAGCCAAGCACTTTAATAAAACCAACCATGACATAGACGATATTTCATTTATTGGCATAATAAAAATTAACAAAATATACGACCACCTTAGAAGAAAACTTGAGTCCATATGAATAGACAAATTGACTACACACACACCACTGGGCATTAACATCCACAAGTGAGGGCGCATTTGTCTAACAGCGCCACCTATTACACCTATAAATTGGTTGTCCACCCTCTGTATGGATTATGCCAATTTACATCTCACGGAATCCTAACAGGGGTAAGTCTTTGTATTATTATTATTTTTGCAAATACATTGTACTTGTAATCATGTTATTTTCACTGTACCATTTTCAATCACAATCCTTTACACACTGTATCTATTTGTTTTACAACAGTTTTCCTGAAGAAGCCCTAATTCCAGGGCGAAACGTTGAAAGGAATAAACGTCATTATTACAGAACTGACCAGGTGTATTGTTGTGACAATCTTTATGTTATTTTCGCATTACAAAAACATTGGTGCCTAATTTTTTTAATTATTTTAAGGGACATAATTTCCAGCTTTATTCAAAATAATTCAGATATTTTAGTATAAAAACGAATGCCTCATCTCAGACAAAAAGTGCTGCATTTAGACGTGAATAGATTCATAATACATGCAAGATAACAGAAAATCTTAGCAGGCTTTTGCCCAAGTATTTTGTACAGGTGTCAAAAATGAATGATTCACTGAGACAAATATGAACTGCCTTATTACATTCATTGTGTGACTACTGTAATATTTGAAAAGTTACAAAAACGGCCTCTATGAATAGCTATCATGTTGCAAGCTCTGCTTTGTATGCAATTCAACTTTAAATAGTTAGTTGGCGTCAAGTGGACAGATAAGTCAACAGTACTGTTGCCTACTGAGAATCTACATCGTCAAACACTGCAATCTTTGTTTTTGAAGTGCGTTTTTAAATTAGTATTATAAAGCTCTATCATTCTGTTTTAATAGCTGAAACAAATTCCTGTGAATTTTCATTTGTCGAATAAACTGTTTGTCAAATACAGAATTCATATTTTTTAGTACACTTTTCTTTTCAAAATGTGGATACAACGTTTTGCTTTTTATGTATTTTTATATATTGTGTTTGATTTGATAACTTTGGACTAAAGAGATTTTCTATTGGCTTCAGATCTTGATTAAAGTTTGGTACCCAATTCATAGGAGTGTTTATATTGATTTTCTGACATCTTGTTTTCTGTAAAGATTTTATTGGCAGGTTTGCAAATGTATTTCAGACTGCAAAAACTCTCTCCATGAGTTGGTTTTGAAACCCAGTTTAGTATTCTCATAGGATTTGGAAGATACATTACCAACGATATTATTACAAGATAAATGATTTGCTTGATTGAACACATACAACAATGCATACTTCCACTGAGATCAGTGACCTTTTGAATGTGTTATCACCAGTGATCAAGTAGAAACAGAAAATATTTTTTATCTGTCGTTCATACTCAGGGAAGACTTTGTACTGATGAATAAGTTGAATAAGTTTGATAAAGTTTGGAATAGAATTAGTAAAGTTATTGTGCACACAAAATCAATTATTAACGACGACGACGACAACGACAATGCCGGACAGAAATTTTTCCCTTAGTATACCTTTCCATTCCATCTTTGATGGTACAGGCAATGTAAAAATGCACTGAAATAAAGCTTAAAAAAAATCATCATGGAAATAAAAATATAGCTGGAACTCGATGAAGGAAAAATAATATGCAGTTGTACATGTATGACCATTATCCGCCCATAGATCCCAAATCCTAAACTATAACATACATCCCTATAATCGACGTAGCGATGTTGTGACATTTCGTGATCACCATTATGGCGACTGATTGGCAAATGAAATTTAGAATCATGGCACTGGCAAAGTCAAATTACTAAGCACAATTACCAGGGATAGTGGATGAGCTACCATACATAATATACCACTAATGGATACTTGCATAAGCCCATTGGCCTAATTTTTGTGCAATAGGAAATACATCCTGCAATAAATAGCTTATTTATTCTTAAGCTTTTCTGGATCAGTGTTTTCATTCTGGTTGAGAGTAGAAATATATTTTGACATAGACCAAACCCAGACCGCCTAAAACAATATCACATGCTTGGAGAAGTTTTCAGTTGTACCGCGACCATAGTTCAGATCTAGAACAATTATCGTAAATTCAAGAATTTATTTTCGCATTATGAATAACAATGTGTTCAAGCATCAACAGGCACAGTAATCAAATTTGTATATACAAGGCCCATATAAGAATAAAAAACATAGATCTAGTATGGTGGTTCCATAAATGCCAGATTCAGAAATGAGCATGGAATATTAAAGATGTATACAGTATGCTGTCATATGAACAGGGGCAGAAGACATGACTGAGTGCGCTACTTTAACCATGACTGCTATGTTACAGTTAATGACGCATGTTGATTCCACCCGATGCTGTTGGTCGAAAGTGCTTATAGTTGGAAAGCTCCTTCACCATTATTATGTTGTAAAAACAGAATGGAAGACGCAATGTTAAATGACATGAAACATTGTGGAATGGCAATATAAATACTCAAATCTTGCACCGTAGAATGGCATGTTGTTGCATCAAATGGCATAACATACCATTAACTAGCATATTGTAATTTTAGCAGGAATACGACATAATATAAGCAGTACTGGGAATAAACAAAATTGGCGTCATTTTCAAGCAACATGCACATAGGATTTGATATTTCAGGGGAGGGAACAATTTGATAAATTGTCATTTATGTTAATCACTGGATTTTTTTGCAATTTATATAATTTATTATCTCAAAGTATTATTATATATTGATCAGTTGAAATGGATGGGATATTGCATTGACATGTTCCAGACTAGTATGGTGTGTGGTGAGTTACAATTACAGAACAGACTATAGAAAATACGATGTTGGATGATGTAAATTTGTAGTGCAAACTATGCATTTCACCGCTTTAATTGTACAGAACTGAATAACACACAATTATGTAGAGTAGTTAACATGAAAACAACAACATGTTTCCGGCTGTTACTATGGTAGGACATGAACTGGAAGCTAATGTCGGTTTATAACTAAAACCAGGGCCCCATATACGAAGTTCGCAAAGGGCATTCAGTCTTCAGGAGTCACTTATATTATGTATTTTGCTGTTATTATTATTGTATTTTCTAGATTCTTTGATTGAACGCAGCATTTACAGTTCATTCAAAGTTCAAAGTTGCATTGGGATTTACATTGATACAGTGTAACAATGTCGGCACTGGTGATCTCTTCTCAGTGCACAACCTAGCCAAAATAAAAAGCATGATCATTTGAACACTGCTATTACAAAAGTGGTAGGAGGTACATGTAATACATTTGGGGCGAAAGTATTCAAAAATCAGTTGCAACGGTGTGCCAGTATTTTTTTTTGCGATTTTACCACCTAACTAGAGTGACGGTATGACATGCCTGCCAAGAATGTACAAAATCGGCCCAGCCAAAAAAAGCTGTTACTGGTGAAAAGTTACCCAAACTTTGAGGTCAAATTTTTTAATAACGAAAAAAGACATAAAAAAACGAATAGTAACTTTGTGTTCACACTCAAGCTTAGTATAATGAGCTCCATGTATGTCTGATATTTTTAGTTTTAAATTTGTATGAGCAAATATATTTGGCGCTATTCAAAAATAATTTTTTTGATTGTTGCCATGGAAACGATGGGCCAAGAATTTTCAGACTTTACCACCTAACTAGAGTGAAGGTGTGATCTGCCTGCCAAGTTTGAGCGAAATCAGCCCAGCCAAAAAAATCATAGAAGAGTTAATATGTGAAGATACAGGAAATCACACACACAGACAAAAGTGATTTTAAAGGCAATTCTAGCGAAGCGGATCACAAACAATTATTACATGAAACAAAATATTTATTCCTTGTACAGAAGTACAAGTACGCAAATAAGTGATGAGCTTTACAAAATTGTTGCAACAAAGTATTAGTGGGGGGGGATTAATAAATTGTTGACCCTCCTCAATTATGGTTCAACCATTGTTGTGCAATTAGTGCACTCACCATTACCAAAGTTTTGTTTCAGAACTGTATGAACTACTTTTTGAAGAAAAATAAAAAACACATTCGCCAAAAATCGTTATAGCACATCGAATCTACAATCAGTTGATCTAAAACTGTATCATCTGCAAACAACAGCTCAATATTGGCTAATTAATATTCAAATTATATAATTAGTATGCATGGATTTCAACCAAATCAGATTTAGTAATTGGTAGCAATGCCATGAAATAAGAAAGAGCCCCAGACTTGCATCGTACATGTAATTGCCATTCTGTCCCCTCTTGTATGTACATTATGTGATGAATTTTCATATAAATTACCTTGAGATGTTTTCATGATCTCCTCAATACGGGACATGATAATATTTATTTGTCTCACAAATGGATCCTCAGTTCTTCCTTTAACACTCAACCGATCTAACAAAAGAACCAGCATTTATGTTTTGTTTTGTTAAAATTTGCATTTTACACAATCATAATAATATCATAGCATAATAATAGTATAGTAAGGCATTGCAATGACTGTCAGGAAATGTTAAGCAATAAAAAATGTATGGATGCTACATGCATACAATTTAAATGTAATCGGTCCAGGAATTCCTGAGAAATGGCTTTGGAATTTATACATAATATGTGATCTGTACAAAATGTTACAAGATGTCATATATGTATGTATATTGTGTTTGAACAAAATCAGTCAATGCTTGACAAAGATCTGGTTTCTGAATCGCAGATATTTCAATGTCTTGGGGTGGGGGAGTGGTTTACAACTATATTAACAAATAGTGCTGGCAGAATTCTGACAAAGATGATGGAATCATCAGTCCCAATGACTAAACATCTGTATAGCTCAGATGTTTAATTGATCTACTTCAAATATCATTTGAAATGTTCAGTGTGGTGATCATGCTATAGGTTAACGTACATATTGTGAGGGTGCACTTAATCAGCTTAGTGATCTGTGCTTAAAAAGTACTTTGGATGCGAAAATGAATGGCCGCCACTTAGAAGATGCTCTCCTCAGGCCACAGCAGTGCCATACCTGTTCTGCTCTTCTGAACAGTAAATGATGAAATTTCCATAAGATGTGTGAATGATATCAATTAATCTTGAAAACAAATTTAAAGCAAATTTAAAGGTTCATTTATTAAATGTATTTTAAAACAAGGCTATAATAAATACCTTCATGGGGTATTGGCACGTATTTCATGAGTTCATTTTTTTCTTTTACAACAGTGGATATCTTTTCAGCATCTAAGTTAGCACACAGTTTTATGATGTGTTTTATAGCTCCACTATGCAATCTTGCTTTTCCAACACCTAAAGATGCACTCAAGCCAATGATCTGTGGGGATTAAAAGTAACATAGCACGTCATTAATACAATAAATGATGTACTTAAATTCTCTTGTATAAATGGGAGAACTTAATATTAAACCATGTAGCAATGCTGTTACATGTATAAGTAATAACAAATTTAAGTAATTATCACTATTAATATAAAGGTATTGTAAAAGTCATAGCTATAGTTTGATCATAAAAGATCATTGAAGAACGAGCCATGCATGGCACAGTCCCCGTTAGTTATCAAATTTAAGATATATAGTTTTGTTTATAGTAATATAGTTGGAACATAAACATGACAGAAGTATGGATCTAGAAAATGATGCTTGATTATGATGATTTTTAACATTAAAATGATTGACATCTTGTATCTTATCGTCAAATGAGTACTTGTCCATATTGAGAAATATTGCTTTGGAACAGCATTAATTAAAACAAAATGGTCACAAGTCCGCCATTTTGACTACATCTATATATCTATAACATGATGTAAAACGAATATATACAATTTGAATATAATCAGTCAAAGCATGACAGAGATATGGCACTAGATGTGCATTCATTAAAACAAAATGGCCGCCAGTCAGCCATTTTGAATCCGATCTGACAAATAAATTGACGTTCATCAGGAACCCATAATCTTTAATGTATGTACACAGTTTGAACAAAATCCATCCATAAATGCTTGATTTTGATGATTTTTTAGCACAAAAATGGCCACCATTCGGCCATCTTGAATCTCATCGTGAAACTAATTGATGTACATACCTATGTATAATATTATATATGATGTATGTGTCAAGTTTGATTATGATTGGTCCAGGCATGTCCAATATACAGATCCGGACGCACGCACGCACGGATGCACAGACACACAGAGACACGGATGCGTGTCCGAACAGGGACTAAAAATGTAATTCAATGTTCCATCATGAGTTGTAATTTTTAAATCATTTTATTTAAAACATTTTTTTCTCATTTTTAACAGCATATTAACAGTATATTTATTCATGTTCATTCTTGGTCATAAAAGTCAAATAACTATGGCGACTGGATCTGTTTACAATGTAAAAACAAAACATGACATACAATGATTGCTTACCTGCATGACATACATTGATTGCTTACCTGCATGACATACAATGATTGCCTACCTGCATGACATACAATGATTGCCTACCTGCATGACATACAATGATTGCTTACCTGCATGACATACAATGACTGCTTACCTGCATGACATACAATGATTGCTTACCTGCATGACATACAACGATTGCCAACCTGCATGACATACAATGATTGCGTACCTGTATGACATACAATGATTGCTTACATGCATGACATACAATGATTGCCTACCTGCATGACATACAATGACTGCTTACCTGCATGACAGACAATGATTGCTCACCTGCATGACATACAATGATTGCTCACCTGCATGACATACACTGCTTGCTTACCTGCATGACATACAATGATTGCCTACCAGCATAACATACAAAGATTGCCTACCTGCATGACAGACAATGATTGCTCACCTGCATGACATACACTGCTTGCTTACCTGCATGACATACAATGATTGCCTACCAGCATAACATACAAAGATTGCCTACCAGCATGACATACAAAGATTGCCTACTTGTATGACATACAATGATTGCCTACCAGCATGACATACAAAGATTGCCTACCTGCATGACATACAACGATTGCTCACCTGCATGACATACAATGATTGCTTACCTGCATGACATACAATGAGTGCTTACCTGCATGACATACAATGATTGCTTACCTGCATGAAATACAATGATTGCTCACCTGCATGACATACAATGATTGCTTACCTGCATGACATACAATGATTGCTTACCTGCATGACATACATTGCTTGCTTACCTGCATGACATACAATGATTGCTTACCTGCATGACATACAATGATTGCTCACTTGCATGACATACAATGATTGCTTACCTGCATGACATACAATGATTGCTTACGTGCATGACATACAATGATTTTCAAAGAGGTCATAGAAACAATGCATGCCTAAATCTTAATAATAAATTATAAATGGTCAAAGACAGTTTTAAAACTTCAATTTGAAATGGAGTATACATGTCATAAAATGGTTATATTTTCACATGTGCTCCTATCACATTGTTATTAAGCCTGTGAGTTTTCTAAGGACCCCACTATCCAATTCCAAACTCTGTGCATAATTGTTAACAAACTGAATGCCCTCGAAAGTATGAGACTTCCCCTAAAAGATATATCAATAGACCATTGGAGAATGTTTTTTTCGTTAGATATATACCACTATAGTACCAGACAACGTTAGCTTACCTGGGGTCTTGGAGCTTCAGGCTTGTCCAACTTCATATCTCTGTACCTTGCCATGATGTTGTTGTACGGTTCTTTTTTCTTTTTCAATGAAATTTAAAAAAAAAATGATGACAATTTTGTTGTTTATTTACTTTTTCAATTGCGACTGAAGCAAGCATAAGTATGATTTTCTCTTGCTAGCTTCTAGCATAACATTTTTTGCTCAGATTCTTGCTCATGAGAAACTCTGATCAGAATATTGCAGAATCTGTGTATCTTACTGTTTATCAGTATTACAAAATAATGGCTTTTGATTCTGCTCCAGGAAGAATTTGTAGTCAGTATATTTGTGAGGGACAGAGGGTGTAAATTCCATCAAGAATCTCATTGTGATTCTGATCAGATCTGTATGCAAATTAGAGAGAAAACTGTGAGAATCCTGAATAATCAGATATTTGTATGCAAATTAGAGAAAATTAAAACTGATATAGTTATCCGATAAGAATCTCCTTGAGATTCAGATTCGAGTGAGAGGTTTTTGTAAAATTCGCATCTATCACAAACAGAAACTACAACAATTGGCCTGTTGATCAACTGTTTTTGCCAAAAGATATTGCCAGAAAATGAACAAATTTGACAGAGGTCTACCCAAAGAACCTTCATGTCAAGTATCAAAGCAGTAAAGATGATAGTTTTCAAGAAGAAGTCAAAAATAGCAATTTTTACCAAATATTAAAAAAACATTCAGTAAAAAATATTCACCAAAAATAGGGAATTGAAGATTGTGTCACTAAATGAATAACTCTGTTAAAGGTCAACCCAATGCTCAGGCTCTATCAATATCTTATCAATTTCTCAGGAACAAATGATAATAAATATGACATAGGCGATGCAATTGCAATGGGCGATGTAATGTACATCACAGTTTGGTGGTAATTTATTCTGTATTTCTCACCTGTGTGTGGTGGCACTCATCAAATACTAACATAGTAAACACAGACAATGAGGATAATACTTTATCCCTCAATGCATTTTCCAATACTTGAGCCGTCAACACAATTATATGGTAATCCATTCTGACTACCTCTTCTAGGGGAATGGTAAAAGTATCTCCAGTCAGCTGCATCACATTGTATTTCAATGGTTCCAAGTAGTCTCGAAACACACCTCCTTGCTGTTCCACCAAGGGACGTTGATTCACTAGAAACACAATCTTATTTGGTCTCTGACCTGTTTTGAAAATGAAAATTTAAATAAAATAAAATTGAAACTCAAATAATTCATTCACCAATATTATAATTGAATCAAAGGAAGCTTAGCAAGAATCTTCTTGTGTTAAGGGTATTGAAAGCATATGAATTAGAAATAGGGAAAATTAACCAATCTCTACATTTGCATCAAGTTTAATTTAAATCTGGTAAGTAGCTATTGAGATAACACAAAACTTGTCAATTTATACAAACATGGTAATTAATCTACATTAATTAATTAATTTTAACTCTAACCTAGAATACATGTTTTTGAGTACAATTTTCATTTCAAAACGCGGATGCAACCTCATTTTTGTTTTGATAACTAACATAATTTTCTATCGGCTTCAGATCTTGATAACAAATTTGGCACCCAAAGGGTTATTCAAAGAAGTGCTTATATCGATTATTTGACAACTTGTTTTCTATTAAGATAGTTTATGTATTTTATTGGTATGTTTGCAACAATTCTCTCCATGAGTTGACATTGAAATCCAGTCTAGTATTTCCATGGGATTCAAGAGATACTGACTACAAGATAAATGATTCACTTTACAGTACAGCAATGCATATCCCCACTGGGACCAGTGATCTTTGAATGTGTATCACCAGTAATCAGTCAAGTAGAAACAGTCAAAATTTGTTATCAGATTTTGACTACTACTTTCTAAATTTTTGCATGATATTTTCACACAGAACACAGAACATGATTTTATACTGATGAATTAGGTGACCAAGTTTGATACAGTTTCGAATAGGATTAATAAAGTTATTGGGTACACGTTGACAATTATTAACAACAACAACAGCAACGACAGATATTTTCCCTTTAATATACCCTTTCCTTTCCTTTGAGCTATGTACGACCTAGAAAATATGCCATATGCGAGTACCAATTTGCGAGTCGCAAGTAGCAAAATAGGCCATATGCGAGTGGTAAAAACGGCATATGCGAGTGGTAAAATGTATCATTCGCGAGTGGAAAAAAGGCCTATGCGAGGGATCAAATGTGTTGTTTGCGAGTGGTAAAAATCCAAGCAACAATACCCAACTATAATCCAAACAATCAATGTCAAAAGGCAATATTTACAAATCCGAACAAACAGGGGACACACAAACAAAACAAACAACACACTGTCAAATCGGTGAGAGAGATACATGGAACTCAAGGCACAAACCAAGTGATGTCAGGTGTTTCGAAAAGAGTGAGCAAACAAAGACCAGGAAAACGGGTGTATGCGAAGGGGTGAAATGAGTCATTTGTGAGTGGTAAACATTATCCATTAGAATGCGTACGGGACCTCGGTACTACAGGAATGTCAGTTTGATCAACGGCTGGATTTGCTTGTGTATAATAACGTACGTTCAAATGCGTTTTATCATAGTAAAAATCAAATATTTACCATGGTTAGAAAATGATGTGTACATGGTTGTAAGATTGGCATGATGCAGTTTAAGCTTTTACTTTAGGGGCGATTCATTTATATTGTTTTTTTATTCCAAGATGAGAAATGGATAGTTGAAGTTGCACCGATTTTAAGGAGGCTGTTTCACTGTGACAACTCTAGCTCTGTTGTAGTTTTGATAATTATGATAAATTAATGCTGCTTGTGTTGAATGACGGACGTCGGGACCGTTTGAAGAAACCAACGGGGATCTATATTCCAAACAAATTATTGGGACACGATCGGTAGACATTCCAAACAAATGAAATTATTAACGAAAAACGAGATTTTTCTAGATATTTACGAACATACTGTCATATCAAATATATGCACAGTTGACAAATACACAAAGAAGTGTAATATTGGGTTTTATTTTAGCCTTAGAAATATTTTCTTTCACTCAGTCCATGCGTGGGACTTCTATTTAGCTTCATGGTCCTTCGGCTTGTCTTCTCCTTGGGGGAAAACAACAATAATTATACAAATCGCAAAGACTCGGCGCAATCAGGAAAAGAAACCCAGACAACCATATCGTACTTCTGTTGAAATACATTTTGTAGCAGTGCGTTACGTCAAAATATTGTTTAAAATAAAATATTCAATCCCAGCCAAATCTAAGTCAAAGGATCAGATTGCGTGCATATAATTATAGATAGTTATAAAACAAAAAGTATTCGAACTTTTGACGGTTGTTCAACATCTATCAAAACCTAAAAATTGTTAGTAGTCCGAATTTTAAATGCAAGCGAGCGGGTTGTGATATTTCCGGGTTTGCACGGTCGAAAATAAAGCGGAAATTGTCCGGTCAAATTCAACAAGCGGTCACAAAAGCGAGCGATTGAAAAGCTGACAACGTGTTTATTGTGGATTTGACTCCGCTAAAATATTTGAAGGTACTGATAAATATCTCGAAGTACTGATAAATATCTAATCTTAAAAAAAAACGCCTCGCTTGGTTCTGTCCTCCCATGAACAACAGTCCTTGTACATGAACGCAACTATTCTCACATATGGTAGTGATGTATGGGGAGATGAAATTACACTAACATTGAAGATGAACATATAAATTATCTTCGTTTTCTCCTGGGGACATTCAAAAACACCACAACAATGGGTTTATACGGTGAACTTGGACGTTACCCAACTATTTTAATCGTGTAAAGAACTCGTCAAATCCATTATTAAAACTAGCTTTCCAAGAAAATAAAGAAATTAATAGTAAATGGTACACCAATATAGATTCTCTTTTGAATAACATCAACCAGTCTAACCTGGTCGAAAGAGATGAAATTATAACAGCAAGGCAATTAGGACAAATTAACAAAAATATACAAACATCATTCATATCAACTTGGAAAAGTGAATTACATAGCGACAATCAATCAAAACAAAATGAAAAAAATAAATTAAGAACATACAGAGAGTTAAAAAACAATTTTGCTTTTGAAACCTACCTTGTTACCCTGCAAAATATTGAAATGCGCGAAAATTTAACTAAATTCCGCCTCAGTGACCATTACTTGAAAAAAAGGAATACCCCTTGGTAATATATTATGCAACCTTTGTGATCAAAACGAAGTAGAAGATGAGTATCACCTAATGATGTCATGCCAAAGATATACCCCGAAAGAAATGTCCTATTCGAAATGGCAAAAAACCAAAATCCAAAACTTTAAAAATTTGCCACCAAGGACACAATTCATAGCCTTGCTAAACAACAGTGGTCTAACACTCCCTGTAGCAAGGTACCTAAAGAAGTGTTTTGAAATAAGACAGCAACCCAAGTGACAATCTTCTTTCACAATCTAAGTTTTGCATTTTGTTTTCTATCTATTGTGGTATCATAATTTAATCTTAATATTTTTTATTCTCTGTAATGTATTAGGTTAGTTTGTTTTATTTTATCTATTTACTTTTTTGTAACCTTTTATTCCTTCTTAAACTTTTGTAACCATTGCAGATCCCTCCGGGGAATGTGTAAGTGTTAATAAAATTATTAAAACATCAACGTTTAATCATTCTAAGGTCTATGGTTTAATCAAACACACAGGTCGTGCTTTCCTCAAGTCAACGGCGCACGTTCTTGGTCGAAGTAGAAACGTGCATTCCCATTAGTCGACAGAATCAACGTTACACTGCAGCATTATATAGGGGGATTTTGCGGAGGGCCTACTTCATTACATAACTGTTGAAATACCACGAAATTAACATTTAATTTTTTACTTTAATCCTGAATTTTTTTTAATCCAGCCATTGTTTTCATTGGCTCGCGTGTGAGTCCTGTTCAGCGAGTCTATCGGTACTGATGATAACTGTATTTCTATAATTATTACAACGCTAACATGTCCATTCTTTAACGAAACATACTTATACAAGTAAAGTGGTTAGGTCGAAGTGTTTGGGGCATTGAAGCTAAGTCTTCTATTTACCCGTAAATATTATCTCTCTATCCCGCTGAAGCAACGGCAGACGCTTCTTTGTTTCAATTTAATTTGATCGGGGTTGTGTGTAAATACACTCCATGTGTGAGGGACATCACACAACATGCACTTTATTTCTTCACGTATACTATCAATTCGTGTCGATGTATTATCTTAGAATTGTGTATTTGTTTACATTTGGCTTGTGACTATTTTTGAAACCTGCCATTGTTTTTATTTAACCGGCGGCGCGTGACACAAGAATTCTATTTTATAGTCGCGACCCTTCTGTGACCACCCGTTTTTACTGACTACAATTATAATTCTATGATTCTTTAACGCAGACCACGGGTTCATACTAATTTTACCGAAACAAAGAAAACATTTCGCATGTTAATGTGGAGTGTGATGGCTGTTTCATGCATGAAGACACCTTCATGGACGTTTATCAAATGATTGTGCTGTCATGTTTGCTGTGCAGTGTGAAAAGCAAACATCGATTCTATGTTTTGATATAAACACTCAAATGAATAAAAAGCACTACATGGAAAGAGTAGTTCAGGCTTCATTTTTTTGCGACCTTCACAATGTTATCCGCGTACACTGGCCGACTGTAATGTTGAGTACCGGGTGGCGTGCGCCGGTTGACATCTAGGCTACTAGATCGCGTTGACACCTATTTGCTACCATTATTTTTATATATGAATCGCATCTAAAGTAAAAGCTTTAACAGCATAATGCCAATCTTAACCAACCATGTACACACCATTTCCTAATCATGGTAAATATTTGATTTTACCATCATGATAAAACGCATTTGAACGTACGTTATTATACACAAACGAATCCAAACTGACATTCCTGTAGTACCGAGGTCCCGTACGCATTCTAACGGATACTGTTTACCACTCACAAATGACTCATTTCACCCCTCGCATACACCCGTTTTCCTGGCCTTTGTTTTACCACTCGTAAACAACACATTTGACCCCTCGCATAGGCCTTTTTTGCCACTCGCAAATCATACATTTTACCACTCGCATATGCCGTTTTTACCACTCGTATATGGCATATTTTCTAGGTTGTAATCTTTGATGATACGGACAAGGTAAAAATGAAATGTGCACTTAACATAAAACTTTTCTATTGAATTCATTACAATATTGATATAACTGCTTGTAATTAGTGAGCAATACAAATTCGTTTTACTTTTTAAAAAGTGCTAATCACGTGCACCTTTTTAAAAGATGCAGCAAAACAATTTTGATAATATTGAAATTTACTTCTGAAATTCCAAAGGTGTGCTAAGATTCCAGAAATTGATGGCAGTATCATGCGGTTTTCTGATTGTTTAATGGCATTAATGACCTATTTGGTCAAAAAACTAGGTCAATTCAGGTTCAAGAAAACATGGTAGATTTCAGCATTTGTTGGAATCGATCAAGTTTTCTAAAACCTTCTTTCACAAATAAACTAACTTAAAGTTTGCATATATTTTATAGAAAATAAAAGAAATAACATTTTTTGTATCAAAACTTGACTGAAAAATGAGCAATGCTTTTAGAACTTTGGAAATGTTGTTTTGTGTGTACCGGTCTGCCACTGTAGTAGAAGATTGTTTGTGTGATGTTGTGATTTTTCCAGTGTCCCTAACACTAAATATGTCAGAGCAACTGTTTTTGTGTTCCAAGTCAAAGTCAAACCTTTAGTTCAAAAAGATGAAATGAACCAAATTATCAGAGAACTAAAAATAGCACAATTTTGTGATTGGTTGAAGTTTTAGAAAACAATAAATTAGGCAAATTTGGTAAATAATTAGATGGTTGAATATTTCTAGTTTTTGCGGTACTCGTCCTGATAGAACAGCTGGTGAGAATATAATACAAATCAAGTCTTTGAATGCAATGAATTATTCCCATTAATTATTCTTTGTTAATTTTGGACATTTCCACAGGTAATGATTAAAGGTATTTTGAAAAATATGCGTCTGTTTTGTGATAGGTGACAGGGAACAGTAAGGTACATATGGACTGTTGTGTTATGCTCATTCTTTTGCATAACATTCCTTTTGATTTTCAATGACTGCAGAAAAGTGGTTACAGTAAAAATAAAAGTACCTGTGAATTTTTTCTCTAGATGGCGCTTCATAATGTATAATGCTGTGATTGTTTTTCCACAACCTGTAGGTGCACAAATGATTGTGTTTCTGCCTTCCAGGGCCGGTTGTACCAATTCGTGTTGATATTTGCGCAGTTTTACAGTCATTGCATCAGAGGATGTTTCATTATTGAATCCATCTTTACCAGTTTTTTTTGTAGCTCCACATTTTTCTGTAACAAATTACATGTTGAATCATTCAAATGATTACACAGCTTAAACTTCTTTGATCACACATTTTAATATCAATGACAAATGTTTTTTTTTAATTTGAGTTATATTTTCTAGTAAAACTGTAGAACAGAATACTTGAGAAAATGAGATAAATATTTGTATGGTGAAGATAACATTTCAAATCAATCACATGTGAAGTTAAACTATAGTCAAATTATTTAATTTTATAGCTATGCGGTATACAACGACAGTTTACTGTGGATTAAAATGGCAAACAAGTGACAGATTAATGGTGTAAATAACAAACGTGTCACATGATTCCCTGGTGCAATCCCTGGGATTGACAGTAGGTTTTGAAAGAACCAACTGATTGCACTATTGCCTTTGATAATTAATCATGTTAAAGGTTGTACACAGTGTTGTAACAGTATCATGACTATAACATAGAAAATCTATACCTGTGCCCTCTTTATCATACTTCTCAATAACATTATTATCACCATCATCATTATTGTGTATATCACCATTACCATCCAATACATCATCATTCACATATTCACTTTCCAAGTCTTTGTTTTCTCCTTCTGAACTAAAGCTGACGGTATGAGTTGCAGTGTCGGATTCTGCTTTCTTGCCTTTTAAATGTCCATCACCATCTTCACCTGATTTAACATAACGACAAGGGGGAGAAGAAAAAAAATATCTGATTACATATCATTATATTGCATTTTTTATTTATCAAGTGGTCCAAATCTAGCGTGTGATGCATTTGGTGTTTAATTTCTATTTATTTTAAAAAACCTTTTTGTTGGTAAACACTCGGCAGTACCTTGATAGACTTGAATTTAATTTAATTTAATTTTCATACTAATTGAAGCATTCACTAGTTATCAATGCACAATTTGGCACAATTGTTTTTTTACGGAAACTAATTTTTAACTAAATACTGACCATTGACAAACAAAAATCAACATCCGTTCACCGCAAAATGGGCTAAAAAATAACGTCTCTGATTTTTATTCATGGCTACAAGATAATGGACGCATCCATGATAATGAGTCTCAAAAGATTTGATCGACTATCAGGGTTTGCGCTAGTGTCTCGGAAAGACGAGTCCCACTTACAAAATTTTAAGAAATAGAAATGTTATCCTGAAAAACTGGGTCCCTCTTCAATAATTGGAGCCAGGGGAGCAAAATACGGGGTTAACGCAATCCCTGGACTATACCTCCAGGAATACATGTACGAAGGGAATACAAATTCCAACATAAAAAAACATACAATGAATGATCAGCAAGAAATGGCCAATCCTGCAAAACAATTTTTTTGGAGGTTCACAGTAACTTCCACAACCTAATTTTAAGCAAATAATAAAAGTATAAGATCACATTCTCCTATATATTACGGTAGGTTTCTAAAAGCATATAATGCCATAGTTACATGCTTTGAGTACTGTAAAGCTGTATACTACATTTAAACGAAAGTCATTGAAAGTGACACAGTTTCCGTTCAAACTAATCTTCATGTAGCAAACTTGGTCTTTACAATATTCAAGAAATGTATTTACAAAGGAAGAGGGTGAAATACCAAAACAGTGCACATACCGAGTATGTCAAATAACATGAAAAAAAATGGTTTACAGTGCACTGATCAAGTATGAGTACTTTAAAAAAATGTCAATGTAGTATCAAATATCTGAAATGCAGTGTCAAACACCTACATGATTCTATGGCGTTTGAATCACCTATCGCCAGTTGACAAATATGGGCATGTAAATTTATTATGTATTGAAGTGGGTGACCTTTTGTACTGACATGTCTTACATGATTAGAAGTTTTTTTAAAAGGCCAGAGGTATGCAAATTCATAGTGGGCGGAACAGAAATTGTATATCAAATGTTCTGGAGACTATTTTTCGGCAGTGAAGTAGAGAAGGCAGAGGCAGCTAGGGGTATATTGAAGTACATGTAAAGCATCAATTGCATCATTCAAATATTTACTTGATTTGGCAATAGACACACCCTGGTGACACTTTGGTTCAATTCGCTATGATGTCATCTCCACCACTGATTCCCACTGTAAAGCCCATATTTTTTTTTGAATTGTACTAAACTACTTTTTAATAAAGTATGTGATCGTAACTGAGTGGAGTTTCATACTCTTTACTTATATTATAAACATGTACTGCTGTAGCAAGTGACACAATATCATCATGACCACTTACTATCAGTTACATGTATGGAAACAAATAAATATGTTATATTCATTACCAAACTGGCATGCCTGAAGACTATTTAGAATATACATAATATTAAGCATTAAATAAACATGTGTAGACTATGAGGTAAGCATGTGCATGTGATCAGAATTTTAAAATTATGAGAATCTGCTTAATAATTACGTTGTACATACATATCAAAAACCATGTAGAAATACATGTCCAAAACAATATTTTGCAGTTGACAGCAGGATTTATCCATACTGTGTGTTATTCATGTTTGGTTCCTACTTCTAAAAACAAATCAAAGAAAGCTTAGAAAGATCTCCTGTGTGCTATATTGGAGACACTAAAAATTAATTAGCCTTTAAAACAAGAAGCTTGGCAACTGATATTTGTCTGATATTTTAGATGCACGGTGTAAAAACAATGTGATCACCATTATTGAAGTTTATACTACTCACAGAAAATAAATTTGATTTTACATCTGTGGTTTTCAGTCTAATTAATTTATTCCAGAACATGCACCTTTACCACAAGTTCAATTTAAATATGCATGTTTTTCAACATTAAACTAATCACGTCTGTGGATTACCCAAGAGCATCTATAAACCAAACTTCAATGATATGTGATGATTACGCATAATATGCAATTAGTATGCTCAAATTTCAAGCTAAAACAAGTCTTTAGCATTGTTCCTAGGCACTTATGTACCAAGTCTTATTGAAATGCAATAATTGTTTTTTG